AACGATATCACTTCACTTCGAATCGACTGCGATCATATGAGGTTCTCACATTTTTATATCATTATCACACCTCTACTGATTTTTTTAAGCTAAATTCGAAATAAAATTGATGAGCACAACGTGAATGCATTCCACAAGTTTCAGATGATAAGTCTATCCAGCAAACGATAGCACAAATGTGAATTAACATTGCACAATTGAATCAGTTAATTTCAATCAGATTATTCATTGAAGTGTCACACAAGCGAACTGTCATTATCTCTATTAGTGATTTCAGGCAAGATAATACGAATCTTCGACGCAAGAACGAGGCACAAGCCGACGACTTGCGACGACTGCACATTAGCGATCAGTCGAGTCGTACGGCAGTCGCTCGTCTCAGCGCAAATATCGAACAACTCAACAAATCGCTGCAAGCAAGAGATCTGCAGATCGCCAAGTTGCAAAACAAAATTGATGTGAGTTCTTACTGGCTTATTTGCCATCACCTTTCAGTCGAAATGACTTCTATTTACCGGCTTCTTCACTATTTGAACAATAAATGATTTTTTGTGTTTTTCATCAGTACTGTAACAGTTGCGGTTGTGATCGGTTACACTGAATATAAGTTCAACAGATTAACTCATATATTCAGTTGCTCAAATAATCAGCTTGCCGCAATGTCTTAGTGTATGAAATGTTCGATACCAATTCCCCTCAATCCTTGTACAAGTACTTCATTCTGGGTAGATCTATCATATTCGATAATTCAAACCAAAACATCTTCCAGATGTTGAATCACTTGAATCGGACATTAGAGGAGGAGAACAAAATGCTCGTGAGGCAAATGGATCATTTGCTGGCGCAGAACAAGGACTTGCTGGCGAAGGCGTTGAACGATAAGGACAATTACCATGCTGAGCAAAAAGAGTTTCAGGTGAATAGAAGCTAATGCAGTTCGGTAATCATTCGCATTGTTACTCTTCATTGAAGTTGAAGAAAATTTATGTTATTGGATTGAATTTCAGGAAAAATTAGCCACTCTACGACGGCATAAAGAAAAACTCGAAGAGAAGATCATGGAACAGTATCGCATGATGGACAACAGTAAGAAGTGTACAAAAGAGAAGCAAACACTCGTGAAACGAGCTGCAAAGGCGCTTATATCGAAGGTGATTTCGTAAAATTCTGATTTATACGTTTCGTTATTTCATAACGGAATAACATTTCGGTTATTCCATACGTACACCATCGCAATTCATGTGAAAATTCAGTGCTCTACTATAAATAGTGTTTAGTCGACAATTCAGTTGATAGCAATTAGTATAAGATTAATCAAATATATCCGGTCAGCAACATGATATTTAGCATCAAAAAGTTATCTGTTTCAGTCTCCGAAAAAGGTGAACAATAACAATAATTCAACAATAAAC